CATTAATAGTTTGACTAATTGTTCATTAGTAGTTTGACTAATTGTTCTTCAGTAGTTTGACTTCTCGTTCGTTAGTATTTTGACTAATTGCTTGTTAGAAGTTTGACTAATAGTTCATTAGTAGTTTGACTAATTGTTCTTCAGTAGTTTGACTTCTCGTTCGTTAGTATTTTGACTAATTGCTTGTTAGTATTTTGACTAATTGTTTGTTAGAAGTTTGACTAATAGTTCATTAGTAGTTTGACTAATTGTTCTTCAGTAGTTTGACTTCTCGTTCGTTAGTATTTTGACTAATTGCTTGTTAGTATTTTGACTAATTGTTTGTTAGTAATTTGACTAATAGTTCATTAGTAGTTTGACTAATTGTTCGTTAGTAATTTGACTTCTCGTTCGTTAGTAGTTTGACTTCTCGTTCGTTAGTAGTTTGACTAATTGTTCGTTAGTAGTTTGACTTGTCGTTCATTAGTAGTTTGACTTTTCGTTCGTTAGTAGTTTGACTAATTGTTCATTAGTAGTTTGACTAATTGTTCTTCAGTAATTTGACTTCTCGTTCGTTAGTAGTTTGACTTCTCGTTCGTTAGTAGTTTGACTAATTGTTCGTTAGTAGTTTGACTTCTCGTTGGTTAGTAGTTTGACTTTTCGTTCGTTAGTAGTTTGACTAATAGTTCATTAGTAGTTTGACTAATTGTTTGTTAGTAGTTTGACTTTTTGTTTATTAGTGTTTTGACTAATTTTTTGTTAATAGTTTGACTTCTTGTTCAGTAGTAGTTTGACTAATTGTTCGTTAGTAGTTTGACTTCTCGTTGGTTAGTAGTTTGACTTTTCGTTCGTTAGTAGTTTGACTAATTGTTCATTAGTAGTTTGACTAATTGTTCGTTAGTAGTTTGACTTCTTGGTAAATGGCAAAAAAGGTAAATGGTAAATATATATAAGTACTATATAAGTGCTATTTAAGTAAAATCCATTTATCATTTTGTTCGTTAGTAGTTAGACTTATTGTTCGTTAGTAGTTTGACGTCTTGTTCGTTAGTAGTTTGGCTTTTTGTTCATTAGTAGTTTGGCTTTTTGTTCATTAGTAGTTTGGCTTTTTGTTCATTAGTAGTTTGACTAATTGTTTGTTAGTAGTTTGACTTTTTGTTCATTAGTAGTTTGACTAATTGTTCGTTAGTAGTTTGACTGTTTGTTCGTTAGTAGTTTGACTAATTGTTCGTCAGTAGTTTGACTAATTGTTCGTCAGTAGTTTGACTAATTGTTCGTTAGTAGTTTGACGTCTTGGTAAATGGTAAAAAAGGTAAATGGTAAATATATATAAGTACTATATAAGTACTATTTTGGTACAGTCCATTTACCACTTTGTTCTTTAGTAGTTTGACTTCTTGTTCGTTTGTAGTTTGACTAATTTTTCTTTAGTAGTTTGACGTCTTGTTTGTTAGTAGTTTGACTTCTTGTTCGGTAGTAATTTGACTAATTGTTCGTTAGTAGTTTGACTAATTGTTCATTTGTAGTTTGACTTTTTGTTCGTTAGTAGTTTGACTTCTTTTTTGTTAGTAGTTTGACTTCTTGTTCGTTAGTAGTTGACTACATGTTCATTAATAGTTTGACTTTTTGTTCGTTAGTAGTTTGACTAATTGTTCATTAGTAGTTTGACTTCTTGTTCATTAGTAGTTTGACTAATTGTTCGTTAGTAGTTTGACTAATTGTTCGTTAGTAGTTTGACCAATTGTTCGTTAGTAGTTTGACTAATTGTTTGTTAGTAGTTTGACTTCTTGTTCATTATTAGTTTTGACNGTCTCTGTGTGTGTGTGTGTGTGTCTCTCTCTCTGTGTGTGTCTCTGTGTGTGTGTGTCTCTCTGTGTGTGTGTGTCTCTGTGTGTGTGTGTGTGTGTGTGTCTCTGTGTGTGTGTCTCTGTGTGTGTGTGTGTGTCTCTGTGTGTGTGTGTGTGTGTGTGTGTGTGTGTGTGTGTGTGTGTGTGTGTGTGTGTGTGTGTGTCTCTGTGTGTGTGTAACGTACGGTTGTTGGTCTCCCCGCTCTGACTCAGGGGGATGATCTCCATCCTCTGCTGACCGTACAGGTAGTAGTCCAGCTCCTCTGACGTCACTTTGAACCTGGCCGCGGCTCCTTTGGCTCCTCCCCCCTCCTCTCCTCCTCCTCCTGCCCCGCCGCTCTTCACGCTGGAGGACACCACCCCCACCCCCCCGCAGCCCTGCTCCTTGGCCTGATGGAGGAGCTCCACTGTCTGGTTGTGACCCTGCTGGTTCTCTGGGGGGACCACCACCACCAGGTCTCCTGCCGGACCCCCTCCCGGACCTCCCGGTCCTCCAGGCCCGGCGCAGACCGGCGCCAGCGCCTGTCCGAACAGGGCGATCTGCTGCGGGACGGGGAGCTGAGAGAGACCCGAGGGGGTGCAGGAGGAGGACGGGGTGAGGGCCGCGGCTGAGGAGGAGGAGGAGGAGGAGGAGGAGGAAGGTGTGCAGTGTGAGGAGGTCAGCAGGTGGCCGTGCAGGCGGGACTGGCGCAGGGCCCCCACAGGGGGGGCCGGAGGGACCACCGGAGCCTTGAGCTGGGCCTGAGGGAAGAGCTGCTGCCAGTGCTGCAGGTAGGACGGGTCCACCTTCAGGAAGGCCGAACCGCTGGGCTCCCCGGGCTTCAGCATGGCTGCAGAGAGGGAGGGGGTCAGAGACCAGAACCACCAGAACCCCCGGTCCAAACCCAGGACCTACAGGTCCAAACCCAGGATCTACATACAGGTCCAGACCCAGGACCTGCAGGTCCAAACCCAGGACCTGCAGGTCCAAATCCAGGATCTAAAGGTCCAGACCCAGAATCTACAGGTCCAGACCCAGGATGTACAGGTCCAGACCCAGGACCTACAGGTTTCATCATTTTACAAGAAAACTAAAAACTAATAAAAACTAATAAAACTCATTTCAGACAGAAAATATTAAATTTAAATTTAAAACATTAAAAATTTATTTATTTGTTTCTTTAAATATTTATTTTAACAGGTAAAATTAGACAGATTTCTGTTTCATTTAAAACAATTTTTCACATTATTTTACAATAAATCAAAGTTTCATCTTTAATTTAAAAACACAATTTAAATCTTTACATATAAAAACATTTTAACAAAACAAACATTTAAACTGATTTGTTTAAAGAAAATAATTCTCCACA